ATGGTGCCGCTACTTGCTCTCTTGGCGGTCCGGCGCCTGCCGCCACCTGTGGCTTTAAACCCTTGGACCACAAAAGCCCTTCATGAAGAGCCCAACTTGTGATCTCTGAATCCCTGGGTCCTTTCCCCCAAGTGCGGTTTAGGGTTTATGCGTGCCTGATATTCGGGCAGAAGCTTCCTTTGAAAGTGAGCCTTTCTAAAGATGGTGCGGAGCCATTTCATGGGCCAGCGGTTGACCATCTCCCTATCCCGCTTCATCCTCCCCGAAACCCCTCAGCCGCCCGCCCCAACCCTACATCCCTGTTCCCCGAATCCTACACCCTAGGCCCTAAACAACAGCCCTTCCCCCTTCCCACCCCGCACAAGCAAGAAACAAAAACTGGAGAGTGGCCAGTCTCAGGCCGTCGCGCCGTGTGCTGGAGCCCACCAGCACCACAGATTTCTCGCGCCGGCCCCGGGGTTTTCTCAGCAGAATGGGAACGGCCACGGCCCCCTACCACTCACGAAGGGTTTGGGGTTTAGGGTTACGCACCCCTGCCACTCACCACGAGTTTGGGGCCTGTCAAGGGTTTTGGGTCTTTTGGGGGAAATGGTTGTCGTTCGGGTCTATACAGGGGTTAAGGGGTTGAGGGTTTAGGGGTTTGGGGTTTTGGGGTTTAGGGGTTTGGGGGAGCGTTTTGGGTTACGGGTTTAGAGTTCGTTGAAAGGCTTTGGTTTCGGGGTTGGGGCGTGCTTCAGTCGGGGGTGCGTGGTTCGGGGAGACCCTATAAAGCCTGTATAATCCCTAAATCCGAAAAAATGTTCAGGCCAAGCAGCCTACCGTGAAGGTGCTCCAGGCCGAAAGTGCAGAGATTCACGTAGTTTAGGGTTCAGGGTTCGGGTTAAGGGTTTAGGCTGTTTAGGCTTTAGGGTTTAGGCATTAGGGTTTCAGTCCCTGACCCCCCGAAAGAAGAGGCGACCGCCCTGGATTCGGAGACCGATGCCGAGTCGAGGACGCTCCGAGAACTGAAAACCCAAAGCCTGGAAGTGGAAAAACTTTAGGAGCTCATGGGACTTGAAGAAAGATTCCAGCCATTTTTTTTGGGGGTTTAGGGTTTAGGGTTTAGGGTTTAGGGTTTAGGGTTGATCCTGGAATAAGGATTCTCGAATTTTTTTTGGGTCATTGTGGTGTTTGCCATTTTGTACCCCCCTTGCTTTGGGACCTTCTTCGGAATAGTTCGGACGATTTTTGGGGGGTTTAGGGTTTAGGGCTACAGGATTTAGGGTTTAGGGTAGGGTTTAGGGCTACAGGATTTAGGGTTTAGGGTTTAGGGTTTAGGGTTTAGGGGGTTGAGAGTCCCGCAGGACGGGCGAGGATGCCAGCCACCAAGCTGCCTCCGGGAGCCAGAGGAGCCTCCGCGACAATCTCCGCATCTTGAGGTCGTTTAGGGTTTAGGGTTTAGGGTTTAGGGTTCAAGGTTTTGGGTTTTGGTTTAGGGTTCAGGGTTTAGGTTTAGGGTTTAGGGTTTTGGGTTGCATCTTGAGGGCGCTTAGGCCCATTATGGCCCATTTCGTTCCAGAAAGGCCAGCGAAAGTAAACCCTAAGCCCCAAGGCCCAAACCCCATTTCAACCCTAAACCAGCAAGCAGTAAGCCCTCAATTATAGTTTGGGGTCTGGGAGATCCAATGCCCTAAGCCCTAAACCCTAAACCCCAAACCCTGAACCCTAAACCCTAAAACCCCAGACCCTAAACCCCCCCCGGTAAACAACTCGGTCGGAAAGGAGCCCCAATGAGCCCGTGGCGCAGATCGTCGACCTGTCGCTGCAGAAGCTGCGACACGACAATGAGGCTGGTTTAGGGTTTAGGGCTTAGGGTTTAGGGTTTAGGGTTTAGGGTTTAGGGTTTAAGGTTTTTGGGTTTTGGGTTTTGGGTTACTGGGATGGGACAAGTTTTCCAAGCAATCATTGGGGTTGAGGTGATGTCCCTGTCGTAGAACCAGGCCCCAGGCAGCTTGTTCGCCGCGCTCGTTCTCAGCATTCTCCTTGCAGTCTGACCTGACCTGGAGTATGGCTTTAGGCTTAGGTTTTGGGGTTTTGGGTATTGGGGGTTCAGGGCTTAGGTATCCCAAATGATGAGCACATGCCATCAGTTGAGAGCTTGAGGAGTTTTGCTTTGAGTTCTTTTCTTTCTCTCGCTCTCTCTTGTCTACGTGCATGTGTGTGTGTGTGTGTGTTGGGGGTTAGACGTCCGTGGAAGAGTCTAAGAGCGGAAGCGCTTAAGGGCTTCGCTTTGTTGTCTGGGTTTCGGAGGTGGATGGCATTGACATCAACATAGCTCCTTGGCTGGGACCGATGTTCACCAAAAAGAATCGTGTGCAGCTGAAGCCCCGCATCTCCCCCCCACGGAGCATGTTGCGGCTTTGTGTGGTTCCATCACCAAGGAGAAAGTCCACACCAACATGGTGCTTCCCAGTACCTACTCGGTGTCCCTGGTGACGATGCCCGGCTCAAGCTGCTCCAGAAGAGGGAGGGTTGAGACGATCCCAGTCATCGTGATGCTTGCAATGGTGAGAGAACTGAAGACCTGCATGCTTGTTCCCCCCTAAACCCTAAACCCTAAACCCTAAACCCTAAACCCTAAACCCTAAACCCTAGGACCACCGGAGCTCCGAGCAGCTACAGCCGCGGGGAGTGCATGTGCCGCTTGGGTTGGGATATCTGGCGGTTGAGGACTGAGAGTTTAGGATTTAGGGCTTTTAGGGTTTAGGGTTTAGGGTTTAGGGTTTAGGGTTTAGGGTTTAGGGTTTCGGGTCTTAGGATTTAGGGCTTTTCGGGTTGAGGATTTAGGGCTTTTCGGGTTGAGGATTTTGGGGCTTTTCGGGTTTAGGATTTAGGGCTTTTCGGGTTTAGGATTTAGGGCTTTTCGGGTTTAGGATTTAGGGCTCAGGGTTTAGGATTTAGGGCTTTTTGGGTTTAGGATTTAGGGCTTTTCGGGTTTAGGATTTGGGGCTTTTCGGGTTTTTGGAGTCAGGGCTTTTCGGGTTTAGGATTTAGGGCTTTTTGGGTTTAGGATTTAGGGCTTTTCGGGTTGAGGATTTAGGGCTTAGGGTTTAGGATTTAGGGCTTTTCGGGTTTTTGGAGTCAGGGCTTTTCGGGTTTGCAGGGTTTCCAGGGTTTCCAGGGTTTCCAGGTTTCCAGGGTTTAGGGATGAAGTGGTGAAGTGTGGCCTTGAGAAGAAGCCTTGTTCGCCAAGGCCAGCAGGGCTTCTTCCTGCATTGGACCACCAAGGCCGAAGGGTTTGCCTTCTTGAAAGGTCCTCGAAGGGAAGATAGGGGCCGGGGCCTTTTTTAGGAGTATGTTAAGGGAACCTCTTCTTGGGACGAGTCTTCATCCCTTGAGAAGGGTCTTTCCTTTGCCCGCAAGGTCCACCCTTAGCCCGGAGAGAAGAGTTTGTTTTTCAGGACGGAGGCATTATATGGGTTTAAGGAAGGGGCCTAAGCATTTCGGGAACCTCAATTTGTAAGCCCTAAACCCCAAGCCCCAAACCCCAAACCCTAAACCCTAAACCCTAAATCCCAATTTCCGCCCCAAAAAACTCCCTAGTGCAGGAGTGCGTGCCACAGAAGCCCTGGGGCTTCGAGTGTGGCTTCTACCCACGGCAGCAGCAGAATCGCGTCTGCCAGGACCCGAAGCCCTGGCTTGGGGGCTTAGAGCTTGGGGGCTCAGGGCGTTAAGGGCTGAGGGGCTTAGGGCGTGGGGTTTAGGGCACCCCCCCCCCCCAAGCCAGCCCCAAAACGGCCCTGAAGTCCTAGAAGCACTGCGGCTGAAAACTCTCGGGAACCATGTTTCACGCAGAAGTGGTTCATCATCAAAATCACCATCTTGGTACTCACAGTTATCACCACCCAATCCCTTTCGTAACGGCAATTCGTACACCGAAAACCCCAAATCCCAAACCCCCTTTACCCCTACACTCTAAAGCGAGGATGGCCTCACCTGCAAGACGCTTGGGCCTCGGACTTTTTTGCCCAGGTGTTAAAGGCTTTACAAGGGGTTTAGGGTTTAGGATGTAGGGTCTAGGGTAATGAGCGGTCACTGAGGGGTAGCTCGCCTTAGAATCTGTTGCATCTAAGTCAAGCCTGGGAGGCTGAATGCGACAGACACCTACGAGTCCTCGGGCAAGTACAAAGGCCGGAGCGTCTAAATTTAAATGTAAACTGCGCATTTAAATTTAAGTTTCATTTTCTCCCGTAAATTCCCGCCTCAAAACCCTAAACCCTAATCCCTAAACCCTACACCCTAAACCCTAAACCCGAAACCTTGAACCCACAAGAAAGCTCAGTAGTCCAAATTGTGCTCTCATGGGGGCATGCTGTGTCGCATGGACCTATGGTTCAAGACCCAAGAGTCCCGCCTAGCCCTCAGCTACTTGTTCTGAATAGAAAAGGATGCTCAGAAGACCCCGTTTCAGTTTTGGCCCTCAACCCAGAACCCTTTGCTTCGGTTTAGGGTTTAGGGTTTAGGGTTTAGGGTTTAGGGTTTAGGGTTTAGGGTTGAGCCTCCAAAAGCCTTCTGTTTCTGTAGGCTGGGCCTCCACGGCCCCGGCCACCTGCGAGTACTGCACCGCCGAGGACGACTGCAAGACCGGTAGTGCCAGGCGGGACAAGTGCTGCGAAGGGTGCGGAGCCCTCTTTAAGACACCTGTATGCTTACGATATATAAAGAAAGAAAGAAAGAAATATCTATATAGATGATCTCTCTCTCTCTCTCTCTCTCATCTCTCATACATATAAATAAATAAATAAATAAATAAATAAATAAATATATATATATATATATAAATATCTTTCTCTCTCTCACTTTTCCTCTGTCTCTGTCATACAAGCAAGAAAAAGTACAGTACCATCAGGAATACATTGAATAATCATGTTGATACTAGAACTTGTGTTAACAAGGTAGTTGTCGTAGTAAAACACATATCATGAGTAATACTAGTAATCATAGGCAGGTGATCTTGGGGATGGAGGGTTCGGGCTTTAAAGGCGTCATCAAGGGTTGTAGTGTTTAATAGGGCTTAATGGGGTCTATACAGGGCTTGAAGACTTTGAAGGAGTTTCGGGGAGGTGGAGGGGAGGTGGAGGGTTTTTCGATTTAATTGTTTTAGGTTGTGTGGGCTTTCGTCTTGATGAGTACGGGTGGGGGGGTTGGGGGGACGGAAGCAGATCAGGCACGTGAAGGACTGCGTCCGCGTCGGGGACCTGAAGCGCATGGAGGAGGGACTTGTGGGGGAGGAAGTTTGGTGAACTCCCACGCAGCTTAGTAGGTTGGAAGGTTGATAAAGTAGGAGCGCATGAACAAGTAGCAGGTAACCTTCAAGGCCGAAGCCCTAAACGTGACTTACTAAACCCTACACGATCCAGGGTTCGGGGTTTTGGGACTTGGCCCCTTGGAAGCTTCTCGGAGGAAGAGGCCGCTGAGGAGGAGAAGGAGCTGGAGCCTTGGGAGGACGACGACGTCTTTGAGGCACCCCTGTTTTAGGGTTTAGGGTTAGGAGGAAACTTCAGAGCTTTGGCTTCCCTTTAGTTTGTTCACAAGCAAAAATGCGTCCCTTTTGGACGCCCGCAAAAATCTGAAGCCGATGGCCGAAAACGGAGCCTGAGCAAAGTCCACCATGAGTTGGATCTCTAGGGGCCCCTTTCCCCATTCTTCTCCTGCTCGCCCGTTTATAGGGTTCAGGGTTGAGAGCCCTAAACCCTAGGGTTTAGGGTTTCCGCTTTTGAGAAGGCCTGGGGCCACAAGGGCGCCGAGTCCGCTGAGGCTATGGCTGTGCACCGCGTGGGTTTGCTTTGCAGGGGGCCACGGTTCAGGGTTTTGGGTTCAGGGTTTAGGGTTTAGGGTTTAGGGTAGAACTGCAACCCCCGAACAGAGACCCCTTGAAAATCGAAGGGCAACATCTCGGCGCCTTCCGGTGAACCCCCGGAGAGAAGAGAGAAGAGAGTTTTAGGTTGGTAAGGGCTTTCATTTTGGGTCTCACTCTCCTGAACCCATCGAACTTCTCAGCTTCTGAATCTTGGGGCCCCAGCCAAGCGACAACTCGGTTCGATGGGACCACAAGGGATGCCTCACATCCTCAAAAGACCCTGAATCCCTCAAAGCCCAAACCCTAAGCCCCCTAAGCCCCCCCCTAAACCCGAAGCCCAAACCCCAAACCCCGATAAACCCTAACCCTTAAATCCTCAACACCTACGCCCCAAACCCCTAAACCCCAAACCCTCACCACCTAGCCCTAAACCCTAAGCCTTAACTTAAACCCTAAACCCGAAACCCTAAACCCTGAACCCTAAACCCTAAACCCTGAACCCTAAAACCCTAAACCCCGAAACCCCTAAAACCCCCCAAAACCCTCAAAACACCTTCTGCCTCCAGGACGGCGACCTGAAGCCCTTCGGGCGCCAGGAGCCGAAGATGTGCGTCACCGTCAAGGCCTGGGACTTGAGGCTTTGGGGTTGAATTCGGGGTGTCATTAGGGCTCAAGATGTAATCTGTGAGGGCTTCATGCGTGTGTTGTTGGGGTTTCCGGGGGACGTTTTGGAGGTTGAGCGCCCTCATCAGGACCCAAGAAGGGCTAAATCGGCTCGACTTGGGGCCCTGTGCATCTAGGGGTTAATTACTCGTTTCAACCGTCTCAACCACTGCCCCAGGCCGCTGCCAGAGTTAGCCCTTTCAGCTCGCTGCAAAAAGCCTGCCAGCATTCAGATGAACCTCTCTAAACCCTAGAAGCCAGGGCGTAGTGCAGCAGGTCACGATTCCTAAACCCAAGAAGCCCTCTAAGCCCTATTACAAATAATAACTGCAAAGTGAACACTCTACACCCTAAACCCTAAACCCTAAACCCTAAGCCCAAACCCTAAACCCTAAACCCTAGACCCTGAACCAGCAGGTCACGATTCCGGCCCTCACTGTCCGTGACAAGAGCATCCGGATCATCGAGGCGAAGGTCAACACCACCTTGGAGGCCCTGAGAGCTCTGCGAAGACTCAACAGGGTTTAGGGTTTAGGGTTTAGGGATCCCAGGTCTCCCCCCCAAACAAACCCTCAAAATAAATGAAACCTCAACAGAACCCCTCCCCTCCCAAGCAAGACCCCCAACATCGGAAACCCCAGTCAAGACGGGCGCAACGAGCCCTAAACCCTAACCCTAAACCCTAAACCCTAAACCCTAAACCCTAAACCCTAAACCCTAAACCCTAAACCCTAAACCCTAAACCCTAAACCCTAAACCCTAAACCCTAAACCCTAAACCCTAAACCCTAAACCCTAAACCCTAAACACAGACTCCTTCAAGACCACCTCCCTACCGACGCCAGGTCGTGGCCAACGCAACTCAGAAGGCGCGCCTTTCCCCAAACCCTAAACCGGCTGAACCCTAAAACCCTAAACCCTAAACCGGCTGAACCCTAAACCCTACCTGAGAGATCCTCATATCGGGGCTGGTAGAACTTCTATTTGCCATTATCTTGCTTTTTTGTTTTTGCATGGGGGGCGGGGGGCGAGGGGAGGGGGAGTACTGGGGTTTAGGGGTTAGCAGGGGCCCCTATTCGTTTGGGAAAATCCTGTCGGTTGGGGAGAGAGCTTGGTGGGGTGCTTGGGAGTGCAGAAGTTTTGGGCGGAGGCCGACGCCAACGCCACGGCCACGGCCAAGACGGTGCGCCAAGCTGTCGTGGAGGCCAAAGCCCCAAGCCCTGGCATGTTCCCCCTTATACTCGCAGTCCTTCTAATAGGAATTGGAATAACTCCCTATTACATAATCCCTATGAAGGACTGTGGGTATAAGGGGAACATCTCAATCTCAACCCTCAACCATCCTAAACCTTAAGCCCGGTATGGCCAGGAAACCTAAAGCCGCGCACCACACCCGTCCTGGAGGTAGCCATGCGATTGAACAACCACAAATCCAAGAAAACACTCCTCAGATGAAAAAACAGCGCGAATTCATCCAGATTCAAGACCCCCTTTGAGAACCCTAAACCCGAGAAAACCTAGGGTTTAGGGTTTAGGGTTTATGGTTTAGGGATGTTTAGGGCTTAGGTTCGAGGCTTCAGGGTTTAACCCTTGACCCAAAAAAGCCCCCGAAGCCTTTTTCATCGGATCTTCCGTTCAGGCCCAGGCTGAGGCCAACGCCAGCTACAACGCGACCGCTGCTGCGGAAGCCACGTACACGGTACCCCCGGCACGGCTTCAGCCCCACCAGTCACGGTTTAGGGTTTGGGGTTTGGGGTTTAGGCAGTTTAGGGTCTAGGGTTTAGGGTTTAGGGATTCCGAGATCGGTAAGCCATAGAAAGGGCCGAAGCCCTTAAACCCTAAATCCCTACCTTCTCAAACCCTAAACCGCCTGCGCCGACAGGGGGTAGGTCGGGATGGCACGGAGCGTAAACCCTAAACCCTACAAGCCCTTAAGAACCCCAAACCCTATTCCCTTAAAAGCCCTAATCGCTCAGAAGCCCTACACCAAACCCTCAGTTCGGGGGTCACCCTCCAGGCGTTCGCGGAAGCGATGGACACGGCAACTGCCGTCTACAAGGCCCAGAACTGGGGGTGAGGGCCGACTCTGACGCCCAAAATGTAGTAGAGGTACGCGATTTCCCAGATCCCTTCAAAGATCCAGAAAGTAAGTCTCGCCACGTGGTCTTCACAAACTACCCAACAGTAGCCGTCCCCCCCTGAAAATCACAGCCACTTTCAAAGGGAACCCACAATCAGTAGGTTCCGATGGCAGGGAAAAAGTTGGGTCCTACTTTGCGGGTTGGATCGGCATCCAGAGCCTCTTCCTCGGGGAGGGGCGCCGTATCAAGACTTAGAGAAATCCTTCTGAAAAGTAAACCCTAAACCCTAAACCCTAAACCCTAAACCCTAAACCCTAAACCCTAAACCCTAAACCCTAAACCCTAAACCCTAAACCCTAAACTTTAAACCCTAAACCCTAAACCCTAAACCCTAAACCCTAAACCCTAAACCCTAAACCCTAAACCCTAAACCCTAAACCCTTAGCCCCCAAACCCTAAACCCCAAACCCCCAAACCCTAAGCCCCAAACCCCAAACCCTAAACCCTATACCACCATACATCAGATTATGGTTCCAGGGGATTCTTCGGCCGCCCTCAGGCCGTGGCCACTGCCGAAGCCAAGCGCAAGGAAAAGGGCGGTGCCAGCAAGGCCAAGATTGAAACCGTTCCTCGGAGACTGCAGCTAGGATTTGGGGTTTAGGGTTTAGGGTTTGGGGTTTAGGGTTTACGGTTTGGGGTTTAGGGTTTGGGGTTTAGGGTTGAGGGTTCAGGGTTTAGGGTTTGGGGTTTACGGTTTAGGGATCTCGTGGGGAATTCTAAGGGAGGTTGCATGGTGCTTTAATATGGCCCCTTGCCTTCTTTAAAGGGGGCCCAGATTACGGGACCATGCAAGTTACTCCTGAAAGAGGGACAGTTCCAATGACGCAGAACCGGAAGGTGGTTTCTTTCGTGTGTTGGCCTTTTTGCGGGCTTCGGTCCGCAAAGCCGAGTTTCCTGGCGGTTGTTTTTGGGTCTGTGTCCACAACCGAATTGAGTTTCCTGATATTTGCTGTCACAGCGCCACATTCCCATGCAATTGAGTTTCCTGACATTTTGCTTTGGGTTTGTGTCCACACAACCGAACATGCAGACTTGCTGTTTGGGGCTGTGCCTGCACAACCGAGTGTTTTTACGCGGGGTCGCAAATCGAGTTTCCTGACGTTTGTTTCGGGGTATGTTCACGCAGTTCAGTTTCCTGACATGTTGTTGGGATCCTTAAAATGATCCTTCATGTCTCCCACATTTTGTACCCTATCAAACGATTCATGGTCCTTGCCCAAAAAGGGGTACCCCCAAATAGTACAATCCTAGTTCTCGGACCCGGCTAGGAACCCTAATTGTGCGAGAGCCCCCCCCCCCCCCCCCACTTTTTTCCCTGGAGAATATGCCCGTTAAACCCTAAACCCTCAACCCTCAACCCTCAACCCTAAACCCCAAACCCCAAACCCTAAACCCTAAACCCCAAACCCTCAACCCTCAACCCTCAACCCTAAACCCTAAACCCCAAACCCTACACCCTAAACCCCAAACCCTAAACCCCAAACCCCAAACCCTAAACCCTAAACCCTTTCTGAGGAAGCGACGGCAGCTGCCCGAAGCAACGGCACAGCCAGCTCCAAGGAGATTGCCAATGCGACGAGGTGCTCGGCTTCCGTTGAGGTTTAGGGGTTCAGGGCTTTAGGGTTTAGGGTTTAGGGTTTAGGGTTTAGGGTGAGGGTTTGGGGTTTAGGGTTGAGGGGTTAACCCCAAACCCTAAACCCTAACTCGAGAGTCCTAATGACGCCCTGCACCGCCTTGCAACGAAGCCGAGCTCCATCCCTCCGACAGGACGGTCACCTCGCAAGGAGAAGCAGGCGGCTTTAGGGTTTAGGGTTCAGGTTTCAGGGTTTAGATGAAGAGGCTTCAGTAAGACACCCTTCTGTGGTGCAGAAAATCAGCCAAATGTTTCGGGTACGGTTTGTGAGTGTGTACACTGTCATAGCATGTGAGTGTGCTTCTTGTTCAGAGGTGGCTTGCGCATGATGCCCTAAACCCTAAACCCTAAACCCTAAACCCTAAACCCTAAACCCTAAACCCTAAACCCTAAACCCTAAACCCTAAACCCCTAAACCCTAAACCCTAAACCCTAAACTGGCGGACAGGCGCGACTGTCAAGCTGCGGCAGACTGGGCACGGCAGCCTGGCCGGCACCTAGGGACCCTTCATTGTATTCCCTTTGTAGCCCATATATAGCTTGTAGAGTCCCTTAGGGATTATAAGGGTTTAGGGTTTAGGGTTTAGGGTTCCCTTCATCTTATTCCCTTTTTAGCCCCTATATATAGCTTATATAGTCCCTACATACCTAAATAACTAGCCCCGATATGGTCTAGAGAGCCCCAAAGCCAGATCTCAAGGCTCAGAGCCCAAGACTCCAAGACGAATTATTTTGGAGTCCCATGGGTGTAACCCCAATGATAAGTCTACTCATAACCTACTTAGAGGACGTAGGGTTATAAGTACGTCACAGTCGAAGTGCCCTTGAAAGCCCGAGGCAAGGCCGAGGCGAGTGCTGAAGAAAGCGCCAGCGTGCACATCGAGGATTCCGCCACCGTGACGAAGACCCTTGGCAGGGGCTCTGCAGATACTTACACCTCTACTCAGATGCGGGGAAGGATAGGTTTTTCCTGCCAGAAATGGGGGGGGGTTCCCTGAACCCGAAAAACCCAACAAAAACCCTAACACCTCGAGGCCTTCACAGATCGGAACACGCTGCTTCAACACCAAGCCTTCACTTTGGGGCTTCAGGCCTTACGTACTTTTGCCGGATTCGAGTTCAGGACTTACAGGACTTACAGGGGCCTTGCTTGCGATTGCTGTTCTTCCTGTTGCTTGTTGTACTACGAACCAACAACCCTAAACCCTAAACCCTAAACCCTAAACCCTAAACCCTAAACGCTAACCCTAAACCCTAAACCCTAAACGCTAAACCCCCAAACCTTGCCGTCGCAAGGAACCGCATGGTCGAGGTGGAGGGCGTCGGCACCAGGACGAAAGAGTTCAAGGCGCCGCGGCTTGAAAAAGCAGGCCAACAGGTTGCGAGGCTCCCACACATCCCTCGCAGCTCTTCCAAAACCCTCAGGAAGCCCTATACAAACCTCAAAAAAGCCCTACAATTCCTTGCCCAAAGCCCTACAAAAAAACCCCTCGAACCCTAAAACAGCCCTACAAATCCCTGCCCAAAAAAAGATCCCTACAAAAAAAGGCCCTCTGCGCATCCCTCTGAGCGAGCCCTGCGGAGCCCTGCGCTGTGCGGAGGCCACGGCCACGGCCAAGGCCATCGTCGAGGCCAAAGCTTGCATCTCCGCCCGCCAGGCCCCGGGGAGTCTCGGGGGGGCTCTTCTTTCTTTTTTTGGGGGGGGGTTGGGTTTAGGGTTTAGGGTTTAGGGTTTAGGGTTTAGGGTTTAGGGTTTAGGGTGCGGAGCTGCAATTGGTATTGTAGAAAGGAGTTCGTGTTGGGGTTGGATGGGTCAATGAACCCGGAAATCATATTTGGCTCAAGATGGCCCAGAGCCGTCCGCTTTTCGTTGAAAAGGTTGTGTCCGTTTGTTGGGTGTTGGGTCTTGTGGGAGGTAGTAGTCCCGACCCTTCTCCCCTGGCCTTTCCCTCAAGGGTGGGGTTCTTCTCTTACTGGTTCGATCCGGGAAATCCATATAGGCAACTGTTAAGGGTTGATTTCTTTCCCTTTTCCCCTTCGGTTGCCCCCGTAGGTTATGAGCCCAAATTAGGTTCCCTGCGGTTGAGTGTTGTCTTAAGATCTTTGGGATCAAGAAGCAATGCCTTCTCCGAAGCGATGGCTCCAACCTGCCTCGGATGGTGGACAGAATGGTGGAGCTGGAAATGGTGCAGCTGAGTCTCTGGGTGAAAGATCGGTGCTGGAAGAGGTGATTCCCGGCGCTGAAGAACATCTGGAAGAAGTCTTGGTTGCAGAAAGCCCCAATGTGGGTATGAGTCCCAATGTGGATATGGTTAGCAATGCTGAAGCTGAAGGACGCGCTGTCTCTGTATCGCCAAAGCCTGGTGAAAAAAGGAACTGGGACGCGACTGGTGGTATAGATCGTGAAATGGAGGTGACTGTTTTACGAGTGTTGCAAAAACACGGGTACCAGCCGTCGACTTCGACTTCGGGTCGAATGGTAGACCAAGGGTCTCAGACCGATCTGATTGGAGAAGTGCCGCAAGCAACCAGGAGGCCTCTGAACAAGATCAAAAGGGGTCCGTCTTCGAGTTCCCAAGGTGGTGGAAGCGGTCAAGAACAGAAGGGTGCGGACAGCTTTGAAGCTGCACCTGCTGCTGAATACGCCATGGGGGAGGAGGAGATCCTACAGATGGAGGCTGAACGGTTGCGACAGCTGTCAGAAGAAGAGGACGAGATGCGTCAGGTCCCGGAAAGGGATGGTTTTCGGAAAGATGAGCATCTGATCCAAGCGTGTGATGGCACAATGTGGGAATGGCACCTCCATGAAGATGGGAGACAATATTATTACTGCCTGGATACGCAGGAAAGCAAGTGGACATTGCCGGGTGTAGGTGAAAAGATGAAGAGTGACGAGGTGGTCGGGTCTCCTTCGGGCAATGAGCTGGAAATGGAGGCGGCGCTGGGTTCTTCATCCTCTACTCCGAAGACTGAGTCTACGAGGGCATTCCAGGGTAGTGTAAATAGTTTAGGTGAAAAAGATTTTTCCTCTACTATCAGGGATAGCGGTCCTAGGGCTGGTGGTGACGCCCCGACCTCGGGTTCTCCTGATGAGGAGGGGACCGAGCCGACATCGCTGGAGCTCAACATCTGGATCGGGAAGGAATGGGAGCGCTTTCTGAGGGTGTGGCAGCGGTGGAATCGGTAGGTCCAGAAGAAAAAATTCCCAATGTGGAGATCGGAACTGTGTCGGCTGCAGAAGAGCGAGTGGTGGATGTGGTACCTGTCGTTCAGGAAGGTGGTCCTGGAGATTCGGAAGACGGAGGGAAAAAGTTGTGTGTTACGACTGAGGAGGTCTCTTCGTTTGGTGCCAAGATTCCTGCCATTCAAGGGGAAAAAGAAGCTTCTGGAATAGCTGGAGACACGGAAGATCTGAAAGATGAGGCCTGGAGCGCCAATGATGCGCGGGTCGATGCGCCAGATAGTACCTGGAGTGCGAAGGAGGCACGGGTTGAGGTGCATATGGTGTTACGTTCCACGGGCGACTGCAACAATGGGGCGCAGGTCTCCGCAGCAGCTGATGATGGAGGTTCACAGGTGGACGCACTGGTGCAACCTGAAGTTAGCCGCGAGGAACGAAATGACAAGGGCTACACCGGAGCCAATGAGGCAGCTGTGGTCAATGATGGTGGCAATTCTCCTTTGGAAACCATGGAACCAAAGGAGCCTGCGGTGGAAGAAAGTGTGCCTGCCGTGGATGATCAACTCAATCGCCCTGCAGTGGAAGAAAATTTGCCTGCTGCAGAAGGTGTGACAAAGGACTCCAATGATGGGTCCACTCCCATGAAGGGAGAAGTGTTGCCGTCTGGAAGTTCGCCGGAAGTCGACACCGAGCGAACTGCAGCAGATGAGGCAAAGCCTTTGGCGGAAAAAAAGGGAGGTCCTGAAATCCAGGAGCACAAAGGAGATGAGCCTGTGGGACTCGTGGAGCAGGACGAGCAGTGTGACCCAAAGGTGAAGACAAAGGATGCGCCAGGAGCCGATGATACAGAGGTGGTTTCTGAAGAGCATGCAAAGAAAGTGCCCCGAGCGGGAGCCTTGGAATCACCTGGGAAACATTGCTATCAAGAGGGAGATGAGATCATGGGTCTAGTGCGCTGCATCAATGGGTATGGAGCCTTTTTGGACCATGGTGATGTGAATGTATTGGTTCCTGCAGAAGGGAACAACACATATCAGTTCAAATTTGGTGATACTGTCAATGGAACAGTGAAACGAGTGGAAGATGATGGTACCATAATCTTGGACACCTTTCTGGTTTTGGAAGAGGACGTGGAGGACTCTTCTTCTACGCTGCGGAAATGGAAACCCAGCGACTGGAGTACGTGGTGGACGGATTCATGGTATGCTGGTCAATGGTACCAAGATTCCAACGGTCAATGGGACTGGAAACAGGAGGAAGAGCAATCCGATGAAGAGCTTGTGGTACAGGAGTTATCCTCAGAAGAACGAGAGGAAAGGCAACTTTATGGAGAAAAGATCTACAAAGCTCTTCTGGAGAATGTAAACGAAGATGAGGCCTATGTTGGAAAAATCACTGGGATGCTGTTGGGTCGCCCAATGGAAGAGCTACAGGAGTGTGTTGCAGATCATGCATTCCTCAATGCGGAAGCTCGGCGCGCGTATGGCATCTTGCAAAATGATGGTTGGAAGCCTGATGGTACAGAAAGCACAGGCTTGGGAAAGTTAACCACTTTTTCCCGAAAACAGTACCACAACGCGCTTTTCGAACTGGCATGCAGAAAAAGGAGATTTACTCGACCAGTTGTGGGTGAAGCGGTGGCAACGGTGCTGAATCAAGGGGAAGATGAGTTTTGGAACGCGCTTTGGTTGGACACCAAGCTATTTTTGCAGGAGCTTGATGGTGCAGTGCAATCCATGAGCAAAAGGGAGAACAAGCCAATGGAAGCCTACATGGACCCTGACCAGTACAAAAAGGCTCACATGACTCCACAGACTGTGTCACCTGGATACAGCAAACTGTGCAAGTTCTTCAATAAGGGAAGGTGTCGCAATGGTGATGGTTGTCCCTATGAGCATCGTCGTTATGGTGAAGGTTGGCCAGAAGGGGGGTCAACTGATCCAAAGAACAGCCAAGAAGCTGAAGATGAGGATGGGAACATCGGTGACCCTCCCACAGAGGAAGGTACAGTGGATGAGGCACAGCAGGAGCGGGAGGATTTAGCCTTCCGGGCCAAGTACAATTTTGGCAAAGGTGCATCAAAGGGTGAACCTACGTCGGGTGAGCCAAAAGGTCGTCTGTGTCTGTATTACAATCAAGGTGGTTGTAAATATGGGACTACATGCAGGTATCGTCACAACGATGACATAGCATTGGAAGGGACTTGGGAGCCCGGCAAATCTTGGGACAATGCTTCCAGGAAGGCACTAAGGGACGCAGGGTTCCACCATTGCTGTTTCGATTATTACCTCAGAGGACGTTGCCGGAAAGGATCAAATTTCTGCAAGTACTCCCACGACGAGATGTCAGATGAGCGGCTGACGCTCCTGAAACACTTGGTACAGGTGGCCAATCAGGTCCGGTTTGAAAAGGAGAGAGGATGGGAAATTTCGGACAGAAGCACTTTTCAGCCACCTGCGAGTGGGGGAGCTGAATCTTCCTCATCCTCGGCACCAAAAGCGCTGCAAATGACCAATGTGTCACAAAAAGAAGGTGAAAAAGGTATTCTGGATGAAGCAGAAGCTGATGAACAAAAGAATTCGGTGGCTGAATCCACTGGTACTCGGCTTCAAAATCCGGAGGAGCCAATTGAAAATTGGATGGCTCGCAACGAACACCTGTGGGTGTATACCCCTCATGTAAGTGAGGTGATGATTACACTTGGTGTGACCAATGTGTCGGACTTGCAAGAGTTCATCTTTGTGGAAGATTTGGTTGACAAAGGGATCAACAAAGTGACCGCATGCAAAATTCTGCAATTGGTTGGTGATGTCCGATATCGTCCGGGAGGACCGGAAAAAGCAGTTCCTTCCGATGCATCTGTACGGGTACAACAATCTTCTGGGAGCAAAGGAACTGGAAGAGCGGCGGTGCGAACCCTCACTCAGGTGCGTGAAGCTGAAGACTCCGGTGCAAAAACCATGCCGAGAGGCTCCTATCGGGAGCTTTTTGATAAGGTCAGGTACCGTGATGCTTGGACGCTTGCGCAGAGGTCTCCGCTGTGCGTACAGAAGCTGCAGTTGGTGGGAGTTGGAATGCCGCCGGTGAACCCGCCAACAAAAAAGTATCGGTCAAGATCAAACCCTGTGAGAAGGGGAAGGCCCTTGCTGGACAAAAAACAGGTGCGACAGGTGCCGCGCTCTCGGTCACAACGACGAGTGCAACCGGCGGAAGTGGTGGAAAAGCCGAAGCCACTGGAACTGAAGCCTCGTGGTGGGTTGTCGTATCGGTTCAGCAGAGCGTGGGCAGATGTGGTGGATGATGATGAACAGGCGGAGGCTTTGGTCTCGTATGCCGCTTCCTCAAGCGATTCAAGCGAGGAGGAGACCAATGCCGCACAACGCCTGAAGGAAATCTTTTTGAAAGAAAGGGATTCACAGAGAACTGCGATTCGTGGCAATGTTCCGCAGAGTGGTTCTTCAGGCTCCAATGACGGGCCGAAAAAATCGGTTCACCTTGGCGAAGGGCGCGACAAAGCGTCGCGGGGGGAGACCCGCCAAGAAGTAACTTCACAAGTTTTTTCGCTACCACAACCTTCTCGTCGAACTGAACAGTTTCAAAAAAGAGCAAGGGATGGTTCAGTTATGGTTGGTTCGCTGGCGGTGGGCTCCACGGATGAGGTTTTACCTGGGCAAGGTGTTGCTGGACAGGTGAATGTATCTGAAGGCGCTCAAGTTCTTCCTGGGCAAGAAGTGGCTGGACAGGAGACGGCGCTGGAAGGAGCAGTGCAAATTCCTGGCGAGGAGACTGACCAAAACGAAGGAGAAGGTGGGAGCAATGAACTCCGTGGTGATGGTGCGAAGACATTGGATGTTCGTCCGGTGAAGAATGTTCCTCAGCAATTGCTGGTTAAAGGTCTTCTGACTCGGATTTATTGGAAGGTTGCTGTCGGCAAGTTGCCTGTGGGGCACAAGGACTATCAGAAGGGATCCAATAAGATGGATCGAAATTTGGTTATTAGCATGTCATCCGAGGGTGCAAGCGAACAGGATGAGAACCTGGCACTGGAGGACGATGCTGATCAGTCAATGGGCGACGGTGCGATGGTAGTTCTGGTGTATGATCCAAGGACGCTGATTCAGTCGCCGACAACTGATTGGGTTATGCGTCGCTCTGGCCAGCAATGGCGTACATGGCACAGAGGATATGTGCTGAAATGGTTCAAGTGGATGAAATGAATGCCCAGCAAGGGACTGGAGCACTCCTTTTTCAAAGGAGAGATCAAGGATATTATTGTGACCTGCATCATTCGTTCCATGACAATCCGTGCTTGCCGGCGGTGGGAAATTACCCTCTTTCGGTGATGGGTGCCTTGTTGTCTCCTGGTCTGGAAGGGGAATTCAAAAATACTGACAAGTTTGGAACTGCTATGGAGGCAATTGCCTATGATTGGAGTCGCAGTCCAGGCATGGAAGTTCACATTGAACTTATGGCGAGGGTAGCCAAAATGGTTCACCCGTTCCTGAATCTTGGAGCCCAGGGGTCGGTGATGGTTTCGGAATTTCTCTGGCAGCGCGGGAGGGCCCGGTTGATGGAGTTCCTTCAAGCGGCGACTTGTGCGGACCAATTGGAGGCTCTCTGGAGAAGGATGGACGACGATGCTGATGAAGAGGTGGATCCTTCGACAGCGGTGCTGGAAGTTCTTGGACCAGAGGATGCGGTACTTGATCAAGGGAACAATGAATCCCTTATTCCCATTGAAGATGCTGGAGGTGAGACAAGTGGTGACACTGGAGGAGATGGCAAAGCGCCAGAAGTCTCTCCGGAAGAGGAGACATCCAGTGGGTCATCAAGACTGGCGGACACAAGGATTTTCCTGTGGTCAGTGTACTCCCGCGTGGCTTCCAATTTCTCTATGCAGGACCGCACTACTGGTAAGATCTTTGACAGCACAAAAGGGTATCCTGGTGAAGGACCAAGCAATGATGACAATCCTTCCTCTAAGAGGAACTTACCCTGGATCTCGGAAGACTACCTCGACAAAGTGGTGTCAAAAAAGATGGAAAGGTCTTCAGATATGGATGGGTTTGTTCCGGGAAGTGAGGGACCATTGGAAAAGGCAGAGGTGGAGAATGTTACTGCCTCTAAAATTCTTATGGCTCTTTGGAAGAAGGGACATAGAGTTGGTTATAGGAGGTTGTGTCGTTTGAACGCATCTGGATGCAAGGTTGGAGCAATGAAACGTCCAATCAAAAGGGTGCAGAAGATTGGCACTAGAAAGGCCTTCACGAAGATGTTCAATGTTTTTGGATCGTCTCAGCATGGCTCAGGAGTTGGCGGAAAACCAATCATGAAGGTGGTAGGACCAAGGCCAGGTTTTCCAGCTGTACTCCAAGCACCAAATACTGATAGCACGTCGGGTGAAGGGAGCAGTCCCCAGGTACATGGCAATGTTCATGTAGAGCACAATCGCCCTATGGACCGGTATGAGGCAGAGCGCTTGGAGAAGAGGAAGAAGGGCTTCTGCTACTGGTTCGGCAAGGGGAAAGATCGCTGCAAATTTGGTGACGACTGCAAATTCATCCATTCCGAAGATGATGTGGTGCTACATTCATATTGGTGCAAATACTATGTGGCAGGGAGAGAATGTTTCGCTGGAAAGGATTGTGAGTTCTCGCATGATGCAACTGGTGTGAGGTGCATCCAGTTTGCTCGGTCTGGGAAGTGTCGGTTTGGTGACAGGTGTGTCTTCGAGCATGGTGTTCCGCTGGAAGAACAGAGGCCAAGGTCTCCAAGGACGCCCCCAAGGGATGGTCCAAGGAGAAGTTCTGGTGCAAATGGTGGTGAAAAGGAGATCTCTCCTGAACAGTTCGATGATGGCGAGGAGGATTTTATGGTTTATGACGATGATACCAAAATGACGGAACTGTTGATGGAGGCGATTTCATTTTTGTCCAATGGCAAGCCAGATTTGGCTCGAGCAGAGGCGGACCCATTGTTCAAACTCCTGAAGTTCGCTGGAGATACTGACCAAATGGATCAGGTATGGGTTTCGTGGACCACTGGTATGTTGACCGTGCTGGAACTTCTCGAAGTAGTGAAGTTTTATGAGATTTCGCTCACGGAGGTGGAAGAATGGGTCAATGACCTGAGGATATGGTACGAGCGAGCCAATTTGGGAGAAGAAAAGGATTCCAAAAAAGGCAAAAAGAGGTCCCTAGAAAGGGAGTCCAGCAAGGATATTCCTGCCGAAAAAGAAGTGGTTGAGACTTCGGAGACGGAGGTTGCCGTTGAGGAGGAGAAGAAAAAGGTAAAAAAGAAGAGGAAAGCTGCAGCTATCGAAGATCCTTACACTCTCATGGTTCCAAAGCCGAAGAAGATGCCGGCGATCATTGAGAAGGGTGGATCATCATCCAATGTGGTGGTTTCTGCAGTGGAAAAAGCCTCGAAAGTGCGCACAAAGTCAAATGTCGGTGGAAAGACAAAGAAGAAGGAGAAAAGTCAGAGTCCCAAGAAAGAAGAGGTGGTAATGGTGCAAGATCCTGAGGAAAAGGATCGTCCATCTGATGCGGATGCACCAGGGTCTGCCACTGCGAATGTAGAGCTGGGTCAATCTTGCCAGGCGATTGAGGACGCAAAGAGAGAAGGATTGGTATCCTCAATTCAAAGGGGCGTACAGGATCCTGTTCTTACAGTTTCGGACCTGGAGTATATTCTGCTGCAACTTCACCTCAAGATTGCCAACAATCGGAAAAAGAAGTGATTGGATGGTGCGGATGAAGGGATGGTTTTTCTCTTTCTGGAGACAGGTGCGCTGGAACAGCCAATGCGCTGACAAATGTGGTGGTTACTATTAAGGGTATGGAAATCCCTGATAGTAGAAGTCAGTAGCTTTTCGCGTAGCGAAGACCACGGTTTGTGGTGAAGAAGGCCAAGGAGTCTTCAGTGATGAGAGGATCATGGTGAAAAAAGATTCTCTATGGTTAGTGAATTTAGCCAATGTGCTATAATTTCGTCCTGGTAGACGTAAAACCATATTGTGCATTTCAAGCAGCTGGCTGCTGCCTTAATGGCAGTTTTTGGCCAAAGATCTGCACCTCCAATGTGTCCTAGGAAATCCTAGGACAGGGGGAGTGCGGAGCTGCAATTGGTATTGTAGAAAGGAGTTCGTGTTGGGGTTGGATGGGTCAATGAACCCGGAAATCATATTTGGCTCAAGATGGCCCAGAGCCGTCCGCTTTTCGTTGAAAAGGTTGTGTCCGTTTGTTGGGTGTTGGGTCTTGTGGGAGGTAGTAGTCCCGACCCTTCTCCCCTGGCCTTTCCCTCAAGGGTGGGGTTCTTCTCTTACTGGTTCGATCTGGGAAATCCATATAGGCAACTGTTAAGGGTTGATTTCTTTCCCTTTTCCCCTTCGGTTGCGCCCGTATAGGGTTTAGGGTTTAGGGTTTAGGGTTTAGGGTTTAGGGTTTAGGGTTTAGGGTTTAGGGTTTAGGGTTTAAGGGGGGGTTGGGGGGGGTTGGGGAAGCTTGGGGAAGCTTCGGGGAAGTGTAGGGGCTTCAGGGCTTCGGGTGCCTTAGGGCCTTAGGGTGTTTCAGGCGTTTTAGGGGGGGGGTTTCCCCATGATCTGGGGGGCCAGGAGTCGAAGCTCTCTCCCCAAGAATGCCCCGTGCGTTTTAGACTTTCCGCGGAGGCCAAGCAGATGCTGAGCCAGGACAGCCTCCGGCAGTCCGGTGTGCCCTTTGCCCGTGCCGTCTACAAGAAGGTGCCCCCAAGAAGGGCTTAGGGCTTAGGGCTTAGTGCTTCGGGTTTAGGGTTTAGGGCTCCGGGCTTAGGGTTTAGGGCCTTTAGGGTCGACCCTAAAGTCGACCCTCACACTTGAGGTGTGCACCTCTCGAAGTCCTCGAAAAAAGCCACAAGAGCACCCCCGAAGTGCCCACGCGAGTTCCGAGTTCCTAGACCCTCTAAACCCTCGAAAATCCCTGAGGCCCGAAAACTCCAGATTCCCCCCCCTAAAGCTCCTGCAAGCCTCGGCCCCGCCAGGCCGAGCGCGAAGCGTACGCCCAAGCCAAGGACGCATACGTGAGAAAGAATGAGAGCTTCACACAATCTTCTTTAGTGCTGCATGATGTTAAGGAACTTACGATAGTTTCCCTCAGTTAGTTACCAGCACGTGGAAGTGATAGTAGAGCCCTTACAAGAGACCTTAGGGCCTTAGGGGTTCTTTAGGGGTCCTTTAGGGGTTCTTTAGGGGTGATTATAGAGGTTTAAATACCTCCTTTTGCCCCGAAACCTACAAGTTCCTGAGCGGAGCAACCCCAGGAGAAGGCCACGAGCTCCGCCATCAACTTGGCCACGAAGGTCGGCTCCGGGGTGCCTCCTTTTAGGGTTTAGGGTTTTTAGGGTTTAGGGTTTAGGGTTTAGGGTTTAGGGTTTAGGGTTTAGGGTTTAGGGTTTAGGGTTTAGGGTTTAGGGTTTAGGGTTTAGGGGTCAGGCGTCGGGTTCATTTCTTGTTGGTGATGCGTAGGTGCGCGGGAGGGAGGCTTTGATCCGGTACGCCCGGCGACCTTAGGATTCAGGGCTTGAGGGGGTTTAGGCCATTTGGTCTGACCCTAAACCCTAAATATCCCTAAACCCTAAATATCCCTAAACCCCAAACCCGAATCCCTAAACCCTAAACCCTAATCCCTAAACCCTTGAAGAGCCTAAACTCTACGCCCCGACATCCCAAGTTCAGGCGGCCAAAGACCGAATCGACGCGGACATCGAAGCGCAGGTGGCCAAGTACACGGAGGCATCCCAGGGGGGCACCAAAGGGGGGGGTTAGGGGGGGGGTGAGGAGGGGGGCGGGGGGGGGGGGGGGGTGATGGGGGGGGGGGTGATGGGGGTGGTGGGGGTGGGGGGGTGGAAGGTGGGCTTGGGGATTCGGGTTTTAGGGGTTTCGGGTCGAGGGTTCAGGGGTTGGGTTAGGGGTTGAGGGTTCAGGGGTTCAGGGTTTAGGGGTTTTAGGGGGTTCAGGGGTTTAGGGGTTTAGGGGTTTAGGGGTTTAGGGGTTAAGGGCTACCCCAAGAAGTTTCGGGGCTTTAGGCTTCAGGGGCCTCGAGTTTGGGAATAGCTGTTGGCATGTCCTCAGATTGAAGATACCCCAGTATGTAGTAGGGGTGGGGGGGGCTCCTTTTGGATTTTTTTTGGGAGGGGGGGGGTGGTCACAAAATGCCGGGCCCCAGGAGCAGCGCCCTCAGCTGGAGAAGATGGCCCTGGAAGATGCCGTGAACAGCACCGCGGGCATCAAGAAGACGCTGCAGGAGTCCGTGGGATGCTGCCTTTAATTGGGTTCCTTATGGCTTTCGGAGTGTGTGGAGAGCTTCTTTGTTTTGTTTTGTTTATTATTATTATTATTATTCTTATTCTTATTCATATTATTGATTTTTTTTTGGGGGGGGGGTTTGCAGTTTAGGCACATGGTTTCGGGTTCAGTGTATAGGGTTCAGGGTACGCCACCCACCTGACCCAGGAGGCTGCGGTGAAGGAGGCTATGGCCCGGGCCGTTTCGAAGGCCTGAACGCCGAAACCCCTAAACCCTAAACCCTAAACCCTAAACCCTAAACCCTAAACCCTAAACCCTAAACCCTAAACCCTAAACCCTAAACCCTAAACCCGAAACCCAAGAACCCCAAGCTGCGAAACTTTGGGATGCCTGATTCTCCTCGAAAGTGGTAAGCCTTAAGCCTTAAGCCTTAAGGCCCAAAGGCCTTTTCTTCATCTGAGCTGGAAGCAATGTATCCCCAAAACCTAACCTGACACCCTAACACCTTAACCCTGAACCCTGAGCCCTCAACCCTAAACTCGAACCTCCAAGTAGCCCTGAAGCAAAGTCAGTGGGGCCGGCTTTCTGCAGAAAGGTGAAGGCCCGCGCCCCAATGGTGGCCCAGAAGGAGGCGGAGGCTAAGGCGCGGATTTAGGGTTGAGGGCTTCGCGGAGGCCGGCACAAGGAGGGCTTAGGGTTTAGGGTTTCGGTTTGGGCCTTAGGGCTTTAGGTTGAGTAAGGGGTTTGAGGGATTTGGGGGATAAAGGGCTTTTTGGGGATCAATGGTATATGGTGGACTTCGGGGACAAAGGCTTTTGGTGGATTTTGGGGATTTAGGGTTTAGACGCCTTGTGCTGTGCTGGGCACAACTCGCAGGTCAAGAAAGCCGCCGCGGAAGAGGCACGGTGAAGACCCAGTTTTAGGGTTCCAGGGTTTCGGGCTTAGGGCGTCCAAAGTGGGTTTAAGGGAGTCTTATCTATGGGAGCCTATTCTCATAGTGCGTCCAACCGCCGAAACCTTCACCCTAAGTGGCCAAGCTCGCGCTCAACCGCCCCTCGCATGACAGAGCCCCCAACCTCCGAAGTCCTAACCTCCAAAAGGCCACTGGGTAGGCCTGCCAGCTGCCTTTGAAAGCCTCAAGCCCCGCCGCCCCCCAGTAAAAAAAGGAAGCCTGTCAGCCCTAAACCCCCAAACAAGATGGCAAAAAACCCAGTGCGATACGTGTCTATAGGCCTCCTTCAGAAGTAAACCCCCCGGAAATCCTAACACCCTGAAACCCCCAAACCCTAAACCCCAAACCCTAAACCCTAAACCTCCCAAAGTTGAGCCCCCCAAATGCCCAATGACGGCGAGGCCACCAGGGAGGCCACCAGGAAGGCCCAGAAGGAGGCCCGCGACGGCCTCAAGAGGAAAGCTATGGTCAAGGCCAGAGAGGAAGCACAGGAGACCGGGTGAGGGTTTAGGGCTTAGGGCTTAGGGTTTAGGGTTTAGGGGTTTAGGGTTTAGGGTTTAGGGTTTTAGGGTGTTAGGGTTTTAGGGTTTAACAGGGGATGTATGAGATTCGGGTAGGGGGGGGGTTGCAGGGTTTACGATGTCAGGCTCGTGCATCCAGGAAAGCCACACCTGCTCGCGGATGCACTTACCCCCTGACTCCGTCGCAGTACATTCCATACATCCTCTGTTCCCCTAAACTCTAAACTCTAAACTCTAAGCCCCCGAACCCCTGGGAGGACCAAATGTAGCGCCTCCAAAAAGAACCCTATACTACTATTACTATTGTTGGGTCATTCTTCGGCGCCCTAGAAAGGATCTTTTTTTCGGATCTTTCCACGGGTCTGAGTAAGGAACGTGCATGCGCGAATGAAGCTACCAGATGCCGGAGAAACAATGCAAATCTTTTCCTTGTCTGATTATGATAGAGCGAGTTTGAGCTGCTTTAACAACCCTCAACCCTCAACCCTCAACCCTCAACCCTCAACCCTCAACCCTCAACCCTCAACCCTCAACCCTCAACCCTCAACCCTCAACCCTCAACCCTCAACCCGCAACCCTCAACCCTCAACCCTCAACCCTCAACCCTCAACCCTCAACCCTAAACCCTAAACCCAAAACCCCAAACCCTAAACCCTCAACCCTAAACCCTAAGCCTCCAACCCTAAACCCCGTTGAGCTCGGTTGAAGGAGAAGGCGAACGAGAAGGCCAAGGCGAATGCCTTCAAGGCGGCCAAGGAGGCTGCCGAGGAGGCTGCCAAGGCCAGCATGCAGGGGTTTTAGGGTTGGGGATTGGGGTTTAGGGTTTAGGGTTTAGGGTTTAGGGTTCTTGTATTCAGGCAGTTGAGTATTTAGGGTACAGTAAGGGGTACCCCATCTTGGGAAAGAAGTAGCTTTGTACACCCTAAAACCTGGCTCGGGAATGCCCCACCCAAAAGGGACCTCAACTTGCCTTTTGCAGCGGCCAGACAGGACGCCTTGAGCCGAAGCTCCCTAAACCCTGAAATCTGAGCCCCAAGCCCCCCCAAACCCTAAACTCCCCAAACAAAAACCCGAAACCCAAAGTGGTTGACGCGAGCCCTTAACCCTTAACCCTTAACCCTTAACCATTAAACCCTAAACCCTGAACCCTATAGCCCTAAACCCGAAACAATAAACCCTAAACCCTAAGCCCGAAAGCCGAAACCCTAAAACCTAGCCCTAAATCCCAAACCCTAAACCCTCATGTCTGGCAGGACAAGGCCGCCAAGGAGGCGCGCGAGGCCGCGGAGGAAGAGGCGGAGAAGCTGGCCAAGGCAGGTCGCGGGCCCGTGGAGTTTGGGGGATTCGGGTTTAGGGTTTAGGGTTTAGGGTTGAGGGTTTAGGGTTTGGGGTTTTGGGTTTAGGGTTTAGGATTGAGGGTTGAGGTTGAGGGTTTAGGGTTTAGGGGAATTCGCGAGTCAAGGTTGTAGGATGGGTCTAGGGCGAACTTCATGAAGGGTTGTCATGACACCCTTCGGGGGTTGTCGGGTGCGCAGGGGCCTGCTTGAGAGCCCTTCTTCAGTCCAGTCCTGAACCACACTGGGCTCTTGTGAAGGAATGTTGAAATGAGCAGCCATAATGCGGAAACTACTTTGGTTCAGCTGTTTGTTTTAAACACCATGCTTATGGTATTCTAAGTTAAGATGAAAACGGAAACCGCTTCTTTTATCCATATCATTCTATTGTCAACGATTCTTGCTGTGTGTTAAGCTTCTTGTTAGCCATATGAGAAGCAAGCCATATGTTATTTTTAGAGCCACACCTTCGTGGTACTGCAAGACAGGTGCCCATTCTAAGGAGACCGTAGAGATCAAACTTTTCCGGCATACCTATCACATATGAAGGCCCTTACTTGTGAACGATGCTTGTGGTCATTCAGTTGATGTTCAGGCCCCTACTTGTTCACCATGCCATGGACATCACTTACCTGCCCTGTGTGTAGTAGCTTAGCCAAGCCAAGCCAGCTGCACCTAGGCACCAGAAGACATCGTTCTCACCTCCCAAGCCGTGCCTAAGACAAAAATGAAACTGGGCCCACTGAGCTCGGCTTGGCTTGGCTCCCTTTGTGCTTCTTGCCTTGGCTTGGTTCCTTGAGATTTTTCAGCCTTGCTTTTGAAGAACATCATGTCAAGAGGAGTTGCTCAAAACCAATATGAGCGCGTTCAGCCGTGCAAGCTTGCATTGAAGAACATCATACCGTCAAGAGAATTTTGCTTCAAAACCCAAGTGAATATCACTAAACCCCTAGGATGTGGCGGGCTGGGCCACGACACACCTGGGGAAAAAATGAAAAAAACCTACACCTTCTTGGGCCTAACTCTTGGCCAAGCCAAATTCGGAGCAAAGCCGACCCAAACAGCGAAAGCCAGGCCGCATTGAAGAAAGCAATTGGAAACCCGAGACCCCAAGCCAAGCCCCGAGCGAAGACAAGCTGCACCTAAGAGAAGCCAAGCCTATGCCCCAAGCCTTAAACCTTAAATGCTTTGAGCCTTAAACTCTACACTCTAGACCCTATACCCTAAACCCTAAACCCCAGACCCTAGACCCTAAACCCAGACTTTCCACCCACCTCGGCAAGAACCCAGCCAACGCCAGGCCGCCGCTGAGGAGTCAGCCACGAAGCGAGCAGCCGGGGGTCACAGCAGCCTGTTCTCCCCCTCTCGCCCCGTAAACTTGCCGCAAACTTACCAGAGGATGTCTTTAGCTTTGGGGGTTAGAGCCCCCCTGAATCCGACACCTGCAAACCTACGAAGCCTGTCTAGACCTGACCCCACCCCGCCTCTCGCAGTCGGGTTTGAGGTGACCCAGAGTAGGCCCTCATTCCTTTGTTAGGGTTGAGGTTCCCTCATAAGCCCTTTTAAACCAAAAAGGGTACCCCTAGCATTCCAAGGCTACTCTTGGGTCTAGGGCCTTAGCCATAAGCCTCTGAAACCCTTGTATGAAGCACCCCTGAAAATTCGCTTCCTTCAGTTGTCTCATTGACTAAAACCCCTTCCAAGGTTGAACCCGTGGAGGTTTGAAGACGGCTTCTCAGTCTAAACCCTAAACCCTAAAACCCTAAAACCCTAAACCCTAAACCCTAAACCCGAAACCCTCCATGACAGTTCCTTGCGTAAACGCCCAGGTGGCTCTTTGTGAGTCTTAGGGCTGTGGGTTCGGGTCCTCATCAGCAAGGGTTAGGGTTTAGGGTTTAGGGTTTAGGGTTTAGGGTTTAGGGTTTAGGGTTTAGGGTTTAGGGTTTAGGGTTTAGGGTTTAGGGTTTAGGGTTTAGGGTTAGGGTTTAAGGTGTTGGGGTTTCGGGTTTGTGGGACTGGTGGGCGAGGTTGCGAAAGCTGCACGGATGGCTTCCGAAGGAGCAGAAGAGACCTCGCAGGCGCAGTTTCCCACGGGGTATGTGGAAGGCTTTTTCTCTAAAAGAGTAAGGGGTATGACTATGACAAGTATAAAGATACTACTTGGAGGTTCATGGTACTTATTATCCAAGTATAGCTGTACTTAGAACCATCTTAGGGCACTTAAGAGGGCTTATAAGTAGGTTACAAGTACAGGTTGTTCTTGGTTCATAAGTACCATGAACCTCCAAGTAGGTGTTCCTGAAGCGGGATATACCCTAAACCCTAAACCCTAAGCCCTAAACCCTAAACCCTAAACCCTAAACCCTAAACCCTAAACCCTAAACCCTAAACCCTAAACCCAAGTTGATAGCCCATCGCCACATGACTTGAGCTTCAGTACACCATGGACTACCAGACATCGCGGTCCGAAGCTGACACTTCACCTGTCCCCAACAGGTCAGGCGGGCAAGTCGTCATATGCCTTTTTTCGAGAGCATCGCAGGTCGCCCCCACTCCCCTCCCCTCGGCATGTCATCGTGCATGCCGCATGCTACACTGGCTGTTCGAACCCTTTGTTCCTATCTGTAAGGACTGCGAGCTAAAGGCAAAACAGCATGTCGCAATCGCACTACAAGTAGCACCAACCTTGTCGAAACAGTTCGCGAAAGTAAAGCAGCATGAGGTTCGAAGTCTACTGAGTGGAACTGAACACTTAAGCTTAAGCCAGTATGCGGTGAACTCATTGGGAGGTAGTCTGGAAAGGTTAAACACAAAGGCTTCAAACCCTGATATGGTTTATTTCAAAGCAGCCTCGCGGTCGGCCTTCTCAGGCCTCCTCGACCTCATACTGAAGCTGCTGTGCCACCTGACCGACCGAGGAGGTGTAGATGGGATCATGTGCAGGGAAAGATCTGCGCATTCGACCACTTCTTCTCGACATCCTAGGGTGCAGAGTGGCTTGCACTGCCAAGTGGAAAAAGACAGCTTTGCTTGGGGCACTCCCTTTTTCCTTGTAACATTCAAAAGAAGGGTTCATCGAGGGTCTAGTATGTTATTCATATATTCTCGGAGTTGTATGGTGGGCGGCGTGCCCGACTGAGCTGTGTTGTGTTAGTCGGCACCGCTTCTTGACTCAAGGAGGGTCCCAGACCCGTGGTTCACGGCAGGCCGCAGAAGGAACCCTCCCTTCCTACCTCCGCGTCTTTGTTTCTATTTTTGCAGCCTGCCTTTGCCTTGGACTGCGCCCTACACCCTAAATTCGAAATCCTAAGCCCTAAGCCCTAAGCCCTAAACCCTAAGCCCTAAACCCTAAACCCTTATATAGCCCTAAACCCTAAACCCTAAGCCCGAAACCCTGAGCCCTCAACCTCCAGGTTCACCCCTTTAACCCGAAGCCCTCAGCCCTACGCCCCTTCCCACTGCTGGAGAGCACGGGTTGAAGCAGCGGCTCCTGAAGGAGCACTTCAGTCTGGGTTCTGAGAACTGTTTTCAGGGTTTGTTTTTCGGTGTTTTAATTTTTAAAGTTTTGTTAAGTTTTTTTTTCAAGGGTTGTTTTATGTTTTTTTGGGTTTCCTTTAGGTTTTTTTTTTTAGGAGGCTTGTTTAGGGTGTTGTTTAAAGGTTTTTTTTTTTTTATAGGTTTTTAGGGTGTTTTTCTTGTTCTTAGAGTTTGTTGAGGGTTTTAAGTGTTAGGGTTTCGGGTATATGCGGCATTTCTTGCCATGGTGCCATGGGCTTTTCCTTGGGAGCCTGACCTGCTTTCGGAACGGCGCCGAGCCTGATGAGGTGCCTTCAGGGAAGCGGCTGTGACGTAGCTGCATCTGATTCTTTTCCAGAACTTGATCCCATCATCCGAAGTATCTCTCCGAGTTGCAAGTGCGTTTTGAGTGTCAAGGTGTCGTGTGTGTTTGTCGTAGTTTGTTCTTGGCGCTGCTTTTGTCGGGATGCGGATCAAAAAAATTTATTTAGGATCAAGAAAAAATTTATTTAGGATCAAGAAAAAAATTATTTAGGATCAAGAAACAATTTTTTCTGTTCTTCCGACGGAGAAAGAGAGAATGGGATGGAGAGAGGGAGAAAAGGAGGGAGGGAGGGAAGGAAGGGCGGAAGGACGGAAGGACAGGAAGGAAGGAAGGAAGGAAGGAAGGAAGGAAGGAAGGAAGGAAGGAAGGAAGGAAGGAAGGAAGGAAGGAAGGAAGGAAGGAAGGAAGCAAGGAAGCAAGGAAGCAAGGAAGGAAGGAAGGAAGCAAGGAAGCAAGGAAGCAAGGAAGCAAGGAAGCAGGGAAGGAAGGGAAGGAAAGGAAAGGAAAAGAAAGGAAAAGCAAAAGGAAAAGGAAAAGGAAAAGGAGAAGGAAGGCCGGAATCAAGAAAGACAGAAAAAGGCAATTTCACAAAAGAAAGAAAGCAAGGAAGACGTCGTGCCAGCTTGCTTCAAAGCATACGTATTCTGGCCTTGGTTGCTTGGTGCTGTGCTCCTAAGGTCCTCTGGTCACGTGGTCCTCTGGTCCTCCGGTCCTCCGGTCCTCTGGTCCCGTGGTTTCCCGGTCCGTGGTCAGAGTTTGTTTTTATTTATTGCTTTTGGTCATAATGGTATATTTAGTTCTGTAGGAAAACATAACATAACATATGATATATGTATGTGTATATATTAAAACAAAGTACAATGATACTATATAGTGGAATAGAGTATCATAGAACACAATATCGTATAGTATACCTTTGTATGATAAAAATATCAAAAATCGTAGTAAGAAAGCGTATATGTATATATTTAATGCTATTTGTATATATAAATTCATAATACACAATACATATTTATTGTTTGTTTGGCGCCGGGCAAGCTTGTTCAACGCGTATGAATCCCTTCCAAACCCATGATGCGAGCATTGTGTTTGCAAATGGGGGGGGGTCTGCGCCCCCTTAAACCCCCCGCTGTTTTTTAAGCCAGCATATGAATATCCTTTCCAAACCAATGATGCGAGCGTTGTGTTTGCAAATGGGGGGGGGCTGCGCCCCCCCCAACCCCCCCGCTGTTTTCTTAGTCCGGGCAAGCTTGCTTCAAAGCACATGAATCCTTCCAATCCCATGATGCGAGCATTTTTTGCATAATATAGTAATACACAAAAATACAACACGTTTCAAGTATATACAAGAATATGCAGCAATATACATGTAAAACAAGAATAACTTACAACAATTTTCAGTAATTGACAATAGTATTCAATAATCGACAACAATATACAATAATATACAAAAATGTACAATAATACACAACAATATATACAATAATTTTCGAAAATATACAAAAAACACAGTATAGAAAACACAAAAACTCAATGACATGCAATAATGTAACATAGTATACAATAATATACAATAATAGACAATAATATACAATGACATACAATAATATACTATAATATAGAATAATCTGCAGTAACATACAAAGAAAACTCAATAATATACAATAATGTACAGTAATCTACAAAAAAGAGAATAATACACAATAATTTTGAAAATATACAATAACATTCAATAATATGCAACAATATAAAGTATTATACAAAAATACAAGAAAATACACGACAATACAATAATACTCAACAAGATGTACAACAATATACAATAATATGCAAGAATATACAATGTCATACAATACTATACAAGAATATACAATACTATGCCATAATATACATGCTTCAGAGTATACGCATTTTTTGGAAACTTCTAATGCCAAGATGCCAGCATTGATTTGCAGCCTCTGCAAACTCAGAAATGCTGCTATTTACAGTATTTCCAGCCTTTGAAATCGCAGAAATGCTGCTATTTTCAGTATTTGCAGCCTCTGGAAACTCAGAAATGCTGCAGTGTACAGTATTTCCAGCTTCTGAAAGCGCAGAACTGCTGCTATATACAATATCTGCAGCCTCTCTGGGAACTCAGAAATGCTGCTATTTTCAGTAGTTCCTGCATAAATGCTGTGTTTTTCCGGTATTTAGAGCTTGCGAACGGCCAGAACTGCTTCATTTCTGAGCATTTACGGCCTCCGCTTCGCTTGCAAGAAGCCTTCGAAGCCTTCAGTAAATTATTTTTTGATCCCAAATAAGTTTTTTTTGATCCGCCTAGAAATAAAGTATTTTTTGATCCCAAATAGATTTTTTTTTGATCCCCTACCCCAAAGTTTTTGTCGGACTTCGACCTTGCTCATTTCGTTGCTTGACCCTCGGATGTTTTTTCTAGTCCATCTTGGACTGCGGAGTTTCATGAGATCGCTAAACCCTAAACCCTAAACCCTAAACCCTAAACCCTAAACCCTAAACCCTAAACCCTAAACCCTAAACCCTAAACCCTAAACCCTAAACCCTAAACCCTAAACCCTAAACCCTAAACCCTAAACCCTAAACCCTAAACCCTAGAATGAGGCCCCCATGTATCTCTGGGGCAACAGGGGGGGGGGAGGCGGAACTGTCAGGCGCGACTTACACGGGGGCCCTGTCAAATCGCAGTCCGACCTCGGAGCTCACAATGGGTTTAGGGTTTAGATGGGTTTAGGGTTTTAGGGTTTAGGGTTTAGGGTTTAGGGTTTAGGGAGGGTTTTAGGGCTTAGGGTTTTGGGGTTTAGGATTTAGGGTTGCAAATGCTGCAGTAAACCCGTGCTTGTTGTCGCCGCGGCACGTGCTCTTGAACGGCCTGCGGCGCTGAGCGAAACATAGCGAAACGCAGCGCGGCCGGAAGAGATCGTAACCTGCTGCTCACAAAGCAGAACCTTCTGTTGGGGCCATGGGAGAAGTTCATCTGCAGTGGTTGATGGCTGCCAAAATGTGTGAAGACTCAGCAGTCTATGCGCGGCTCTCCTTCTGTTTTCTGGATGGAGATTAGAATCTGGTTAGGACCAGAGCCTGACAGCTGTTCCGATCTAGCTGCTAGATGGAGTCCATTTCCGCTGCAAATTGAGGTGACAGCCTGAAAAGGCGTTGCTTTTCAGAATCCCGCGTGCTCAGTTCTCAGCTTGTGCACCTCAGAGTTTGTTTTTGACATCGCGCGAGTGTAGGAGTTTAGGGTTTAGGGTTTAGGGTTTAGGGTTTAGGGTTTAGGGTTTAGGGTTTAGGGTTTAGGGTTTAGGGTTTAGGGTTTAGGGTTTAGGGTTTAGGGTTTAGGATTGCAGCACCTTGCATATTTGACATTGGAGCCGCGGAGCTGAACAGTGCAAGTTCTTCAGAAGAAGTCGTTTCTTGGTTCGCATTTGCATCGCTTGAGTATGACAGCGCCCTGACAACTCGAGTTTGAGATTGATGTTGGTGCACTGCTGACTCTACATGTTTTGGACAAGAAAGCAAGGCCTGGAATATGCACTTGTGGCGAATATCGAGCAGCTCATCAGGCCGGAGCTCATGACACCGTGCGCATGTCACATCAACCTTCAGATTTGTTTTGCACGCGCAGTGACTCTGTCGATCAAAGTCTGAGACTCTTGTCCCGGTGTTGCTTTGAAGCTCCTTGGCTCAAAACAGCGCGCTCGATCTCAGCCTGTCCGCGTCCGCGCTCACTCAAGATGGCTGAAGAGACGAAGGAGCAGAGCTGCGCGCAGTTCGCCTTGTTCGTGACGCTGAAGATCATCGGCGTCCTGGTCGCGCTGTACTTCTTTCTGGCCGGTCTGAGCTTGATGGGAGGATCTTTTGGTGCTCTTGGGGGCAAGGGAGCAGGCGAGCTCTTCACGATCACTGACAACCCCATCGCAGGTCTCATGGTGGGAGTTTTGGCCACGGTCCTGGTGCAGTCATCCTCCACCAGCACAAGCATCGTGGTGGGTTTGGTGGGTGCCGATGTCTTGACTCCGCGCCAGGCAATCCCAATCATCATGGGCGCCAACATCGGAACATCGGTGACCAACACCATTGTGTCAATGGCACATGCGGGAGATCGCCTCGAACTTGAGCGTGCCTTCTCCGGAGCAACAGTGCACGACATGTTCAACATGCTTTCCGTCCTGACGCTGCTCCCGTTGGAGATCATCACCGCCGCCATCTCCGGTGAAGGAGGCCTGCTCTATTGGATCTCCCGGGGGTTGACGGAAGCAGCCGTTGGCGGAGCAGAGACGGACCTGACCTTCCCATCCCCAACCAAGGAGATTGTGAGCCCATTGGTGAAGGCATTCCTGTCCAAGGACAAGAACGTCGTGAAGGCCTTGTCCTTTGGTGAGCCTCCTGCCTACACAATGCCCTCAGGCTCCGGCACTTACTACTGCGTGAGTTCAGCCATGAGCTCGGCTTGGAAGAAGGTTGCGGAGGATGCCTACGAGGGCCTGACAAGCTGCAGTGGCTTCGCAAACGAATGTGATAACGGTAGCAGCTGCTACACGGATGCCGGCGACTACTACACCAATGAGATTGCCGGTGCCAGGCTCATCGGCAAGGGCTTCCTGAAAGAGGCAGGCGACGTGGCGGGCGGCATCATCGGGCTCATCATTTCGCTGGTGGTGCTGTGCACAGCTTTGTACGTCTTGGTGCGGCTCTTGCAGAGCCTCGTGATGGGCCAGGCAAAGAAGGTGATCATGAAGGGCACCAACATGAACGACTACTTGGCCATGTTGCTAGGTCTGGTGATCACGATCATTGTGCAGTCGAGCTCTGTGACCACGTCTGCCTTGACTCCTCTTGTTGGCATCGGAGTTCTTCCTGTGCACAAGATGTTGCCCATGACTCTTGGGGCCAACATCGGCACAACCTGCACTTCCATCCTGGCTGCCTTTGCTGTCATGAAGTTCAACAGCATCCAGATTGCCTTCTGCCACCTGCTCTTCAATCTCATTGGGATCCTCATCTGGTTCCCAGTGCCTCTGATGCGCAGGGTGATTGTGCGAGCCGCCTGCACCCTTGGCTTCTACGCCTCATACTGGCGACTGGTGCCCCTCATCTACATCCTGGTGATGTTCGTGGCCGTGCCAGGTGTTTCCCTGGGCATTTCGTTGCTCTATTCAGCCAGCGTGGCTGCAGGTGTCGTTTGCACAATCCTGGCTCTGGGTATAGTGGGCGCATTCATCTTCTGGTGGGTGCGCATGGGTGGCTGCTACAAGGTCGTGAGCCAGGAGGAGCGGGAGGCACGCAAGGCCGAGATCGAGGAGGAGATGGGTGTTGTGGGTGAGAAGAAGGCAGCCCCAGAGGCTGACGCAACACCAGTGGAATTATCTGTCTAAAAGTCATACAATCTGCATCTCCGGACATGTTGAGCGAAGAGCTTCCTTTTGTCCACGGTCCTTGTAAAACAAGGGCCTTGTTAAATTCACGGGGGGTCGAGGGGTTGGAACTCCGGCAGTACACCCTTGGATCTCCACCGCATGTCGGCCCTGCGCGCGCTGACTGAGCGCGCTGTTTCGGCGAGTTCTGATCGTGGAACGGGTGGAACGGCGACGGGTTGCAAGTGACTGCAAGTGACGCAGTTACTGTAATCCGTTCTTATTGCCACCACTGCACTCTTGAGCGCTGCTGCAGATTTTGCTCTTGTGCGGAGCTTTGAAGAAGTTCCTCTGCAGCGGTTGACGGCTGCTTGCCGTGAAAACGCAGCACTCAGCACTCAGCACTCTGTGCGTGGCTTTCCTTCTGTTTGTTCTGGATAGACAATGACATTGAGGTTCGAGTCTGGGTTAGAGCCAGAGCCTGACACAGCTGTTCAGATCTAGCGGCTAGGCGGATGGAGGAGTGCTTCCATTTCCGCTGCCAATTCAGGTGACCGCCTGTAGAGCCGCGCTCTCAGCTTGTTCGCACGAGTGTAGGAATGCTGCATTTTGTGCAGATCTGACACTGGTTCCGCGGGGCTGAAACTTGTTCAGATCTTTGCGTGGTCTGGAGCACTTGAGTATGACAGAGTCCTGACGCAGCTCATTCAGTGTGACTATTAGGGTTGAGAGTTGGTTCACTGCTGACTGAAGGCTTGGAATATGTGCTTGCAAACTTCGAGCAGCCCATCAGGCCGGAGCTCAGAACAATGTGCACATGTCTCATGAATCCATAGTTTTGTTTTGCACTTGCTGTGACTTGATCGAAGTGTGAAAAGTATGAGACCTTTGTCACGTGCGAAATGCATGTCAAGAAGGTTTTGCCTGAAGCTTCTTGGCTCAACACATCGCGCTCGATCTCAGCCTGTCCGCGTCCGCGCTCGCTCAAGATGGCTGAAGAGACGAAGGAGCAGAGCTGCGCGGAGTTCGCCTTGTTCGTGACGCTGAAGATCATCGGCGTCCTGGTCGCCCTGTACTTCTTTCTGGCAGGTCTGAGCTTGATGGGAGGATCTTTTGGTGCTCTTGGAGGCAAGGGAGCAGGCGAGCTCTTCACGATCACTGACAATCCCATCGCAGGTCTCATGGTGGGAGTTTTGGCCACCGTCCTGGTGCAATCATCCTCCACCAGTACAAGTATCGTGGTGGGTTTGGTCGGTGCCGATGTGTTGACTCCGCGGCAGGCAATCCCGATCATCATGGGCGCCAACATCGGGACATCTGTGACCAACACCATTGTGTCAATGGCACATGCGGGAGATCGCCTGGAACTGGAGCGTGCCTTCTCCGGAGCAACCGTGCACGACATGTTCAACATGCTTTCCGTCCTGACGCTGCTCCCGTTGGAGATCATCACTGCCGCCATCTCCGGAGAAGGAGGCCTGCTCTATTGGATCTCCCGGGGGTTGACGGAAGCAGCCGTTGGCGGAGCAGAGACGGACCTGACCTTCCCATCCCCAACCAAGGAGATTGTGAGCCCATTGGTGAAGGCATTCCTGTCCAAGGACAAGAACGTCGTGAAGGCCTTGTCCTTTGGTGAGCCTCCTGCCTACACAATGCCCTCAGGCTCCGGCACTTACTACTGCGTGAGTTCAGCCATGAGCTCGGCTTGGAAGAAGGTTGCGGAGGATGCCTACGAGGGCTTGACAAGCTGCAGTGGCTTCGCAAACGAATGTGCTGACGGTAGCAGCTGCTACACGGATGCCGGCGACTACTACACCAATGAGATTTCCGGTGCCAGGCTCATCGGCAAGGGCTTCCTGAAAGATGCAGGCGACGTGGCGGGCGGCATCATCGGGCTCATCATTTCGCTGGTGGTGCTGTGCACAGCTCTGTACGTCTTGGTGCGGCTCTTGCAGAGCCTCGTGATGGGCCAGGCAAAGAAGGTGATCATGAAGGGCACCAACATGAACGACTACTTGGCCATGTTGCTAGGTCTGGTGATCACGATCATTGTGCAGTCGAGCTCTGTGACCACGTCTGCCTTGACTCCCCTTGTTGGCATCGGAGTTCTTCCTGTGCACAAGATGTTGCCCATGACTCTTGGGGCCAACATCGGCACAACCTGCACTTCCATCCTGGCTGCCTTTGCTGTCATGAAGTTCAACAGCATCCAGATTGCCTTCTGCCACCTGCTCTTCAATCTCATTGGGATCCTCATCTGGTTCCCAGTGCCTGTGATGCGCAGGGTGATCGTGCGAGCCGCCTGCACCCTTGGCTTCTACGCCTCATACTGGCGCCTGGTGCCCCTCATCTACATCCTGGTGATGTTCGTGGCCGTGCCAGGTGTTTCCCTGGGCATTTCGTTGCTCTATTCAGCCAGCGTGGCTGCAGGTGTCGTTTGCACAATCCTGGCTCTGGGCGTAGTGGGCGCATTCATCTACTGGTGGGTGCGCATGGGTGGCTGCTACAAGGTCGTGAGCCAGGAGGAGCGGGAGGCACGCAAGGCCGAGATCGAGGAGGAGATGGGTGTTGTGGGTGAGAAGAAGGCAGCCCCGGAGGCTGACGCAACACCAGCGGAATTATCTGTCTAAACGTCATACAATCTGCATCTCCGGACATGTTGAGCGAAGAGCTTCCTTTTGTCCACGGTCCTTGTAAAACAAGGGCCTTCTTAAATTCATGGGGGCTCGAGGGGTTGGAACTCCGGCAGTACACCCTTTAGGTCTCCACCGCATGTCGGCCTGGCGCGCGCTGACTGAGCGCGCTGTTTCGGCGAGTTCTGATCGTGGAATGGGTGGAACGGCGACGGGTTGCAAGTGACTGCAAGTGACGCAGTTACTGTAATCCGTTCTTATTGCCACCACTGCACTCTTGAGCGCTGCTGCAGATTTTGCTCTTGTGCGGAGCTTTGAAGAAGTTCCTCTGCAGCGGTTGACGGCTGCTTGCCGAGCATGCATCCATGAAAACGCAGCACTCAGCACTCTGTGCGTGGCTTTCCTTCTGTTTGTTCTGGATAGACAATGACATTGAGGTTCGAGTCTGGGTTAGAGCCAGAGCATGACACAGCTGTTCAGATCTAGCGGCTAGGCGGATGGAGGAGCGCTTCCATTTCTGCTGCCAATGGAGGTGACCGCCTGTAGCGCTCAGTTCTCAGCTTGAAAGCCTCAGAGCCTGTCTTGATATCGCACGAGTGTAGGAATGCTGCATTTTGTGCAGATCTGACACTGGATCCACGGGGCTGAACTGTCCAACTTCCTCAGATCTTTGCATGGTCTGCAGCACTTGAGTATGACAGAGTCCTGACGCAGCTCATTCAGTGTGAGTATGAGGGTTGAGAGTTGGTTCACTGCTGACTGACTTACTGATTGCATGTGTTGTGCAAGCCAACAAGGCCCCTGGAATATGCGCTTGCAGCACATGCCGAGCAGCTCATCAGGCCGGAGCTCAGAACAATGTGCGGGTGTCTCATGAATCCATAGTTTTGTTTTGCACTTGCTGTGACTCGATCAAAGTGTGAAAAGTGTGAGACCTTTGTCCCGTGCGAAATGCATGTCAAGAAGGTTTTGCCTGAAGCTTCTTGGCTCAAAACATCGCGCTCGATCTCAGCCTGTCCGCGTCCGCGCTCGCTCAAGATGGCTGAAGAGACGAAGGAGCAGAGCTGCGCGGAGTTCGCCTTGTTCGTGACGCTGAAGATCATCGGCGTCCTGGTCGCTCTGTACTTCTTCCTGGCAGGTCTGAGCTTGATGGGAGGATCTTTCGGTGCTCTTGGGGGCAAGGGAGCAGGCGAGCTCTTCACGATCACTGACAACCCCATCGCAGGTCTCATGGTGGGAGTTTTGGCCACGGTCCTGGTGCAGTCATCCTCCACCAGCACAAGCATCGTGGTGGGTTTGGTCGGTGCCGATGTGTTGACTCCGCGCCAGGCAATCCCGATCATCATGGGCGCCAACATCGGGACATCTGTGACCAACACCATTGTGTCAATGGCACATGCGGGAGATCGCCTGGAACTGGAGCGTGCCTTCTCCGGAGCAACCGTGCACGACATGTTCAACATGCTTTCCGTCCTGACGCTGCTCCCATTGGAGATCATCACTGCCGCCATCTCCGGAGAAGGAGGCCTGCTCTATTGGATCTCCCGGGGCTTGACGGAAGCAGCCGTTGGCGGAGCAGAGACGGACCTGACCTTCCCATCCCCAACCAAGGAGATTGTGAGCCCATTGGTGAAGGCATTCCTGTCCAAGGACAAGAACGTCGTGAAGGCCTTGTCCTTTGGTGAACCTCCTGCCTACACAATGCCCTCAGGCTCCGGCACTTACTACTGCGTGAGTTCGGCCATGAGCTCGGCTTGGAAGAAGGTTGCGGAGGATGCCTACGAGGGCTTGACAAGCTGCAGTGGCTTCGCAAACGAATGTGCTGACGGTAGCAGCTGCTACACGGATGCCGGCGACTACTACACCAATGAGATTGCCGGTGCCAGGCTCATCGGCAAGGGCTTCCTGAAAGAGGCAGGCGACGTGGCGGGCGGCATCATCGGGCTCATCATTTCGCTGGTGGTGCTGTGCACAGCTCTGTACGTCTTGGTGCGGCTCTTGCAGAGCCTCGTGATGGGCCAGGCAAAGAAGGTGATCATGAAGGGCACCAACATGAACGACTACTTGGCCATGTTGCTAGGTCTGGTGATCACGATCATTGTGCAGTCGAGCTCTGTGACCACGTCTGCCTTGACTCCTCTTGTTGGCATCGGAGTTCTTCCTGTGCACAAGATGTTGCCCATGACTCTTGGGGCCAACATCGGCACAACCTGCACTTCCATCCTGGCTGCCTTTGCTGTCATGAAGTTCAACAGCATCCAGATTGCCTTCTGCCACCTGCTCTTCAATCTCATTGGGATCCTCATCTGGTTCCCAGTGCCTCTGATGCGCAGGGTGATTGTGCGAGCCGCCTGCACCCTTGGCTTCTACGCCTCATACTGGCGCCTG